AGCCAGAAAGCGACAAAACACCGAGGGATAGGTTTTGGCCCTGGATGCGCGCCACTCCCCGTTGGCGGCTCCCCCCTCCAGGACACTCGCGTGGGCACGGTGAAGGCATCCCCCCCGATGTGGCAGCTCCCTCAAGACACGGGCCATGGACAGGGCGTGGGCGGCCAGTAACCCCGTGGGCTTTTTAACCCCTGATCAACCCGATGGAGGACCACCCCAGGCTGGGCTCTCAAACGGGCCAAAATCGGGAGCTGCCAACTCGAGGGGGCGTTTTCTCGATGGTCAGTCAGCCTCTGCCGGGTGCTCCATGAGAGCGGGGATCCCACGCTTCCACGCGCAAACCAAGAACTCAATCATTGATCTCAGCAATCCGTTCCCAGCGTCCACTTGTGCCCTTTCTTTGGGGGTTAAATATGTCAAGCCCCAAGGCTCGGCAACATAACGAACAGGTCTTGGGCGCGGCCGTCTATCCTGAACTGGGTCGCGGCGAGCAGCACTCCAGGTCTCGAGGGGGGGGGGGGGGGCAACCACCGCGGCCACCCATCCGCTATCTAACAACCCCAACCAAAAGGCAATAGTCTTGGGATTAGTCAAACCACCATATGCGGGGGAATGAGTACTATCAACCGACAGGACCACCAGGGGGGATGGGTGCTGCTCCACCAACTTCTCGACCCAATCTTGCACATCCCCTTCCCGCCTTTGTCCAGAGAACAAGTAAAAGATATAACGGAAGGGCCTCATCGGGGGCGGGGTCGGAACAAACTGGATGGGGGGCGGAGGCGGAGGAGCGACGGCGGGGGCCAGGGGCTCCGACGCCACCAGGTCCGCTTGGACCACCCGCAGCCCCCTCGGGGGCCCAGCCACTTTCCTGGGTGGGAGATGTGCAAAGTCGTCGGTCAGGCCTTTGGCACGGTTCGTCTGCTGTTCAGTCTTGCGACTCTCGCGGGCCTCGAGGACCTCTTCGTCAGAATATCGGACGCCTGCAGCAACCAAGCCCCTCAAGCACGGCTTCGCACGCGCTAGGTGCTTATAGAGACGTCCGTTGGACCGAAAATCCCACCTGCAAATGCCGCAATCCGTGCCAACAGCCGCGTGCGCGGGCGTAGTGCGTCGAGGATGGAACTTCCCACGACGAGACTTCAAATGCCTGGGTGAAACGAAGAGATGCCCGCGCTCGTAGCTGAGGTACCTCCGCTCGACCTCCGCATCTGGCTCCTGCATGCTGGTGCCCCCGACGTGCCGGGTGACCCTCTCTCCCCACAAGTGATGCCGGCGTCGGTCGGACCACCGCGTTCTGGATTTCGCGGTGGCAGCCGTCAGCAGGGATCGAATGCGGGGGACATCTAGAAGCACTGCTGTCACCCAGTCGTCTAGGGCGCCCTCCCCCCCCTCCCGCCCCCAGGGACTTCAGAGGGGTCAACAAATTTAGTGAGCCAGTCGAAGCTCTGTGACAATGCCAGAACCCACCCGCCCCGAGCAAGCAAGCTAACGCCCAGGAGGTAACGCAAGAAAGGGGGTGCCTTAGTCAGTAGCCGAGCAAAATATCGAAGTCAGTTCAAGTGCACCACAGCTTCCCAAGGCATACCGGTCCACGAGGGCCAGAACTTTGCCATAGGAAACCTGGAACTCGCTCGAATTTGCAGCAGGAAAACCCAACGCACATCGGTAAACGAACACGTGAAAAATGCGAACACGTTTCTGATTAGCAACAGTGAAGGGCCTCCAGAGGGCACAAGCGCAAAACCCCTTGCTCGCACCAAAAGCTTCGGAGCACAGAACCTCGGCACGAAGGGACAAAGCCTCGCGCGGTGCAAGGGCTTTCTTGATGGGGCGGCAGGCAGCCTTGACTTGGGTGCTCCTGGCGGTGAGCTCGACCCCCTCATTACGCGCGTCGGCAAACACAACTCCCAAGCATTTCTGAGAGCGAGCTACCTTCACCTTGACCCCCCAATTGGTGGA